AGGGGGCTGGGGCTTCTGCCAGTTTAGAGTCCACCCTTTCCGCTTCTGTGGGGGAAAGGCCTTCTTCTGTTTCTGGTGGGGCTAACTGTGCCCCTTCCACTCTAGCTAGGATTAATAGTCAGAGATGTCCTTCGGCATGATTCAACGTTCTCTTATGAACTGGAGCATGAATTAGGATCTAAGCCAATAAGCATAGGGATACTGGAATTGGGAACAGTAAGAATGCAATGTACACCTATTTTTAACAGTTAAGTATCTTTGTATAATACCTCATTTTCTTCTTCATGTTCCAATATGGCCTGGAGAAAAGCTCTTCGTTCATGGCTTGAAGATTTTTGGTCAAACATGCCAGCCTGAATAACTTTCTGATCCACATTCAGTTTATACTTTGCAGCTGCCAAGATTTTCTCCTCTACACTGTTCACTGTGCATAATCGTAAGACTCGAACTTCATTCTGCTGCCCAATTCTATGAGCTCTGTCTTGGGCCTGCAGGTCCTGTGAAAAATTCATTTGGTACAGTATGTTGAACTTCTGATGTTGGAGTAGTTGGGCAAAGCAAAATATCATCATCAACATTTTACATTCAGAAAAATACTATAGACTATAATCTATAGTTCTAAATCCAGACCTGCTTATACATTATGTTCTTTAAATTTAAATTAATGAACTCCTGGTTGCATAAAAATGATTTAAAGCAAAATATGAATTTAAAAGATGAGCAACGTATTATACCAGCATCCCCCAACTGCCAGCATATATCACACAATCAGACTGTGGTGCACAGTTACTTGAATTTTCTTCTCTCATAACTGATTTCCAATTGTCCTCTAATTTTAATTAGAATTAATCCATTACTAATGTACTATAAATTGATGACTAATATATTTTAGAGTTTATTTATGCATATTATTCATCTCAAAATAATATATATACATTTATATCTACAAATTTTAGAAAAATAATAAATAGCATATTGTTTGTAAAGTGTGAAAATAGAGGGTCAAATACATCCTCAGAAAAGCCATTGTTTATGGTATTTTTAAAAATATACCAAGCTATCTTTCTCTAGGCTTGCTACAATAAAGATTCATTTATGCTACCCGGTGCCAAGATACTGTGCTTATGGAGCCTCCTAAATTCATGGTCATTGTAAGAATTTAAACACAAGTTACTCAGATCTTGAACGTGGGGAACTTCTTCACAATTTCCCATTTCCTTGCTATCTTCCCAGAATGTTCTGCCTTCCCAAAAAAGTTTGAGAAGTTTTGATGATGAGTATATCTTTATTAAAAAGGTAAAAATTTAGCTCATTTTTTCTGACTGATTTTGACCCATTACATATTACTGTTTGTAAAGCATTACACCATAGTTTACATTAATGTTTTAATTTCCATATCACTTTAAAGTATTTCAATAAATAACTATTTTAAGTAAATAAAATAAATAAACTTTCAGGCAAAATTAAAATATTATTTTTTAAAATAAACATTTTAAAACCAAAAGTCTATGACACCCTTGATGGTATAGGCAGACTTCTTAGAACAATAGCAATATCAAGTTTCTTTCCCTTTGTATAAATACTTTCTTCTCTGATTTTGAGGAAAAGCCAAATATGAGAAGTGAAGCATTCTATTGGTTACTTTCCAGGTACTTAATCTCAATAATTTTTCCCCTTAGTAAATGCCACAAGAGTAACACAATTATTACAATGTACAATTGTATTTTACCAGTCAATGTTCAACATTCAATGGTTACTCAGTATACTAGCTATATATCAACTATATGTATCAAACCGTGGCTGCTAGTGATATGGATCCTCTAGGACACCCACTAGAATCCATTAACTACTTTCTTACATATAGATTAAGCTTATATAAGAGAAAAAATCTGTCAGTAGAAGCACAATATGTTCTGGGGGAATTGCTACAATGTCTCTTAAAACTATACAAAAAGCATATTGATTGTTTAGGAACCCATTTCCATCTGCAAACTGGGTTCAAGTTTATTTCATAATGCTCTTGGCTAATTGTTATATGATACGGAATGATTTAATTAAGTCCACAGTTCTCAAGACATCTATTGGTAGTAATATTTAAGCATTTGTTTTCATTTATATACCATTCTATTTCCAAAGTCTCTGAGCAGCTTACAATAGCCTGAGTTAATATTTATAGAAGTAGGATTAATATTTATAAAATCCACCTGTCACAAATTGCAGTAACAGGTAGTCCTCGACTTATGATGGCGATCAGGATCTGAATTTCTGTCTCTAAGTGATGCAGTAGTAAAGCATGACTGCATTGCTTAGCGACGGCAATCCCTGCAGTCCTGGTTGCAGTCATTAACTGAATTCCACGGTTGTCAGGCGAGGCAACTTCCTGCCAACTTCTCACAAGCAAGTCAATGGGAAAGCTGGCAGGAAGTTACAAGTCCCAGGCAGCTCATGAGCAGCCCAGGAGTCAGGTAAGAGGCTGCTGCTGGGTGGGGGAGGGTGTGCAAGAGGTGTGGCGAGGTGTGAGGGAAGTGAGGCAAGAGTTGACTTTCTGGGGAAGCCGGCAGGGAAGGCTGCAAATGGTGATCATGTGACTGCAGGGCAGTGCAACCGGTTGTAACTGCAAGCCGGTTGCCAAATGCTGTAATGGTATTTGGGAATGACCTTAGGAGAAGGGGGGAAGAGATGGTGCCTAGGGAACAATCAGATAAGAGGGGGCATAGCCCAGAGCCGCATAAGAGGCAGAGAAAGAAATTCAGAAAGGAACCTCCCTAACTTATCAAGCTGTAAAAGAGATGGGGGGAGATTTGTACTTTCAGACTTGCAAGATTCTGTTAATGCAGCCTTACAATAAAGTAGAATTAGCTCATCTGGTCGTATTTCCTGTCAGGTCTACCTGGGAAGGCTGACAAGTGCCAATATCATGATCATGTGACCATGGGTGTGCCAGAACGGCCGGAACTCTGAGGACCAGTTGTAACCACCATTTGTTCAGCACCATTGTTAACTCTGAATGGTTGCTGAACGAATGGTCATTAAGTTGAGGGCTACCTGTAGTCTAAATAACCAATATTCAGGGATAGTATATTCTTATTCTTTCCCAAATCCCCTCCTGAAGAGCTGTTTCCACAGCTCTTTGAAAATGTAATAGGGAGGGTATGGTCCAGCTATCTGGGAATAGGCTGTTCTGGAGGATGAAAGCCATCATTGAGAAGACTTATGGAGCCTCTACAAATGGCATATCCTAAGTGGAGAGAACCACAGCAAACTTTCTTTCCCAACCCACAGCCAAACTGATAGTGGTTGGGAAAAAAAAAAAAAAAGAACTAAAGGGGATGAATCCAGAAAAACTTGCTTTGGTGGGAAATGGTGTAGCATCTTTGATGTATTCTAACATTTCATTATTCATAGAAAGTACATATATGGACTAGTTTTGTTTTATTACTAAAGATTTAAAACAACGCAGAAGAACAATGAACAGTAAATTACCTGGTGAGGATTCCAGTCACTGTCAAAAATTATAACAGTATCAGCTGCCTGAAGGTTCAAACCCAGACCTCCTGCTCTTGTGCTCAGCAGAAAAATGAAGTATTGGGAATTGGGCTCATTGAATTTCTTCAACAGAGCGGCTCGATCCTCTGACTTTGTGGTTCCTAAAAAATCAGTGTAAATAAAAAAAGAATTCAGGAGTTGCTAGCCTGCAGATGTCTGCTCATTATCTAGACTTTCTAAGCTTTAGAATAACATCTGCAATATTGATCCCAGAATTATTTATACTGCTCTTGCAATACAGAATGAATTTGGAGGTGAGAGAATATGTTTCTTGAATGTACTAACCAATATTTTCTTATGCTTTGCTTGGATAAAGTTTCAGGAACAACTTTTAAAGTTTGCTGGTATTTTAACTGAAGAATTACAGTCCATTGTTCTGGTTCAAAAAGCTGGCCCAACTGCTTTTGTTAACCAATTACCTGAAGGTAAAATCAATGAAGTTCATTTCTAAGCCACCATATTTGAGACTTGGGGCAGTGGTTAAAATGTTGGTCGAGGAGTGAGGAGAGCCAGGTTCCAGTCTACCTTCAGCCTTAAAAGCTTATTGGGTGACTCTGGGCCAATCACTTTCTCAGCATAACCTACTTTACAGAGTGTTGTTTAGAAGAAGAGGGAGCACTATGGATATTGTCTGGAGCTCATGAATGGAAGATGGGATATGAATCAAATTAAAAGCATTTGATACTGTTGATCCTTTGATTATTTATGTATTGATTACTGAAACACCACCTCCCAAGAACAAGTTCTCAAAAGTGGCTTACATATTTATTTATTTATTTATTTACTTACAACCATTTGTATGTCACCTATGCTTACAGCTTGGGAAACAACATTAAAATTGGCTCACACATTTTCATGGTTGTTTGCACAGTGAGCAGAAGCAGGATTCTCATATAGATATTCCACCCATAAGAAAGTGGAAGATCTATCTGAAGTGAATCCAAGTGATTTCAAGTAAATCTCATTGTCTACATAGGTTCTGATTGTCTTGAAGGGTAACCACACTGCAGGAGCAGCTGTTTCCCTTCCCCACAAGTGTCTACAGTCAGGAGTGGCTCAGATGGGTCAGATAATGTCAGGCTAGGAGGACAAGGTTGCTTCTGCAGTTCACTTCTTTCCTCAGACAGCTGACCTGATGGAATCCTCCTATTGGCAACAGATGCAGATGCCCCCGCTACCACTACTGATGTCAATGGCAGTTTGTCTAACTCCCTTTTAGGGAAGAATTAATTTATATTTTTCTAACAGTTTCGTTTTGCTAAACATGCTTCTCAAAAATCTAATTTTTTCTTTGGAGGAAAATGAAGCAAACACTTCACTTTCAGTCAGTGACCAGGTAGAGGGAGAGCATTTAACTGAACAGTATTATATATTTATACATATTCATAATCCAAAAAACCCTCTTCTGTCATGGAAGATATTTAGAGTCATACTGCAGTTTGTGCAATTAATTTTAAACCAACATTTTAATGAGTCTCTCCTCCCAACCCTTTGTTTAGTTAAGAACATCACCTCCTAGGACGGAAGTAAATGTTAATCAACGTTAATGACTAAGAAGAATCTGAACTGGACCAGAAGTATCAAGCATAGTTTAACTTGACAATGCAACAGTCTTTTAGAGAACTGGATAAATAAACATAAAAACTTCAGCAGGGTCCTAGATTTTTGTCAGATTATTATCATTTTGAAAGACAGCCTTAAAATAATGAAAGGATGAAAGGAACATGATGTTTGAAGCATTTGCAATCTCAATATTGATTATAGCATCCTTATGAAGTAGCTCAGTATCATTTCTAGGAAGCTAACAAGCTGGAACAGTATTTCAGAAGGTGAAAGTATGGTCTGTCTTACCCTAATAGTATCAGTACATAAAAAATGCAGCACCCCATGTTCTCAATCACTGAATGACAATGGCAATAAGTAGCGAGAGTCTAGTATTTCAGAGATAGCTTTCCCAGCCAAAATTTAGGGCCTTGGTTACAATAATACAAAGTAGACCCCAGTTTATTATCTGCAAATTCATTCATTCATTCATTTATGAGATTTATTCCTCTTGTAATCCTTAAATGAACTCTAGGTTTCATCATGGGCATTACCATCAAGTCGCAAGTAAGCAAAGTTTCGAAAAGCAAAGTAATCTTCCATAATGGTCATAAGTGATGTCATTTGACAGAAAAGAAGCACACGATGATTAGTGGCTCGCAACTTTGGTAGAATTCGATCAAGTAGCTCGAACTTCCCTGAGGCCCGATAAAGCTCAGCTCTGTGAAAGCAAAAAAAAAGAAAAAAAAAAAAGCACTAAAGAACAGCTATTATTTGTGCAGGTCTCTATTAACACTCAGTAAACTATTTTCCAAAATTAAATCAAAAATCCAGAAAAAGAAAAGAGCTCAAACCAAGCAGACTAAACACTGCAACCTAAAACTTTCAAGAAAGGAAGGAAGGAAGGAAGGAAGGAAGGAAGGTTGGTTCTAAAAGGAAAGATCTTTTTTTTAATATATAGTTTTTATTAAAGAAATTTTAAAAAATAAAAGCCATAAGAGAAAATAAAGAGAAGAAAAATAGTGAATAGTGAGAAAATAGAAATAGAAATAGAAATAGAAAAGAGGGAAGGGAAGGGAAGGGAAGGGAAGGGAAGGGAAGGGAAGGGAAGGGAAGGGAAGGGAAGGGAAGGGAAGGG